ATATGTTATTTATACTGTTATTTATAGTATTATAATGAGTTTTTTTAGAGACCCGTTCTTTTCATTAAATGCTTAAGAAAAGGGTGTGCCATTATAGTGCTGTTCAACTACTCATGCGCAAAAAAAGGTGAAAGATTAGTTGCTTATAATTCATTTTGATAGGTCTTTGGAGATAGTTAGGTTTGGGATGTTATCACTTCAAATAGCCATGAAACTATATAGAATGGATTGCTTTCAAAAGCAAAAGTAAGTTAATATCTGACAGCTTTTCCAAGTTTTTTACACCGATGTATATACAGGTCAAACATATGCATTATAGGCCTATGTAAAATTTCATATTTGGAGAAATTATCAATAATTGGAGGTAGTATTTTTTTTTATATTGGCCTCTCCAAAGGAGGCTATTGTTTTAACGTGTTCATATTCGTGTTATCGTTGCTGTTGTTGGTAGTATTGATTGTTACCACGCGAAAACTAAAGTTTGGTAAATTCGATTGGTTTTAAACTTAGCACAATTCAATATGGTAATAAGAAGACAGGGCCTATTGTTTTTGGTACATGTGTTCAACAATTCTGGTGATTTGGCCAGTGACCAGGATTTGCCCGACGAGGGGAGGGCGATGTCCCCGACGAAGAAAGTGGGCGTGGTTAAGTTAGTTAGATGGTTAAGTGAGGGGCCTACCTCGCAAAATAAGGTGATATGAGGTGGTGTCTTTACCTACTTGAGCACAATTTTTAGCTACAAACCTTTCCAAAGGAGGGCTACTTGGGAGGGGAAAAAGATCATTAGGGGCGTAATACGCCAGAGGTTATCATATGTGGTGGCACCTCTCAGCGTAGATGCTTCCATTACTTTCACATAGCTCCCTAACACTGCCTGTCACAAGTTAGTTTTGTTTCAAATAAGTATTCTGTATATTTTAGACATACATAAAAATGAGATTTCATAAAGACAAATAATGTTTTTGCATTGAATAGGCCTGCATATAAATTTTATAGTTTAATATTATTTTTTCATGATACAAAACCAACTCCGCAGAGCTACAATATATACATACACTTCCACATTTGCAGAAATTATCAGTGGTAATACACCAGCAACAAATATATAAAGGAAACTTAAAGAGACAATCGCACACACTGATGTACGCAAATAGTATAGATCAGCCAATTTTTGTCAACTAAAGTTAATACATATCGAAGCATTTGGGTAGTTACATTAAAGGCATAGTAGTTAAGGAGGAAAAATGTAAATTGAATGAAATGAGTGTTTGTTAGTAATAGTGGAATTTAAACTGCCACAGCAATTCTGAATCTATCTGTAGGACTGTAAATTTTTGACAAATATATTTATATTTCCACTTGATTAAGTAAGTTTAAAAACAGTTTAAGTTCTCGTCTTCCTAGCAAGTTTGTACATATCGTATATTGATATCAACTAATTTTATTTAAGGTTATCATATATTCCTGTCTCTTATACACATCTAGATGTGTATAAGAGACAGAATAAGAAGACAGCGCCCATTGTTTTTGGTACATGTGTTCAACAATTCTGGTAGTTTGGACCGTGACCAAGATTTGCCCGACAGGGGAAGGGCGATGTCCCCGACGAAGAAAGTGGGCGTGGTTAAGTTAGTTAGATGGTTAAGTGAGGGGCCTACCTCGCAAAATAAGGTGATATGAGGTGGTGTCTTTACCTACTTGAGCACGATTTTTAGCTACAAACCTTTCCAAAGAAGGGCTACTTGGGAGGGGAAAAAAGCTCATTAGGGGCATAATACGCCAGTGGTTATCATAATATGTGGTGGCACCTCTCAGCGTAGATGCTTCCATTACTTTCACATAGCTCCCTAACACTGCCTGTCACAAATTAGTTTTGTTTCAAATAAGTATTCTGTATATTTTAGACATACATAAAAATGAGATTTCATAAAGACAAATAACGTTTTTGCATTGAATAGGCCTGCATATAAATTTTATAGTTTAATATTATTTTTTTCATGATACAAAACCAACTCCGCAGAGCTACAATATATACATACACTTCCACATATGCAGAAATTATCAGTGGTAATACACCAGCAACAAATATATAAAGGAAACTTAAAGAGACAATCGCACACACTGATGTACACAAATAGTATAGAATTACATTAATGTACGCAAAGAGTACAGAAGTGCAAGAGGTGCGACTGTCTTGATTTTGCACACACATAATGAAACGAAAAAAAAGTATTACCACGCGAGATAGGGACGCCCTATTGGAATGTGAATAAAGTTTACAACTTGAACACGCGTTCTACAGATGCCCTCTAGTTTGTTGTAGTACTTTTTTGAAACCCCGAAAGTCAGATCTCTCGCAGTTCTAATACTCTTTGACGTACATCATAGTCATTTATAAAGTGGTCAACATTGCAGCCAATAGCAGGACACACAGCTAAGGATGTTTTCAAAATGTGCATATAAACATATGAATTAATGTGGGCGACTTCAATAGATAGAAGGACTTGATTTCAAATATAAAACTGAAATATATATTTAGTATTTACATAACAAGAATTTCCAAAAAATATAATAACATAATAGAAATGATTTCAAACAAATCATATTTTTGTATTCGTTGATTATTTGCAAATGGAAGACAGTTCAATAATGACATTTTGTTACAGTTTTTTAGATTGATTAAGGTTACCACATAAAAACTGTGGAGCATATAGTAAATTTACAACTATTCTCTACTAAAAAGACATCAATAAAAATATATATATTTATGAATGGAAGACAATTGCAAAACACAGATTCTTTACTATTGCCTTTGATTTTACTCCAAAAAACAGTTGAAATATTATACTATATATTATCATATATTCTTCATATTATTATTTATATATATAATTATCTGTATACACATAAGCACATATATATGCACATATATATCTCATTTATACTAACTTTTCATATTTACCATATACTACATTTAATGAACTATGAATTTTATATAGAACTTTACATATTTCCATAATTTGCCAATAAAAAAAAAAGACATTTTCTTGAATCTTAAAATAGCAACATGATTGAATTGTGACGTATCTTGACTTTATTTTCATGTTAAATGTAAAGTCCTTAGACATTTATCATATGCAGTGCATCAGGTTTGCATCATCACCATCACCATCGTCAGCATTTCGCTTTGGGCAAGATACTTTATCACCATTTGTGTCTCCACTCCATGGGTCCAAAGTTTCCCACAACTTGCAGCAGTCTTTCTGAAATCCTGATGGCCGCCAGCACTCCCAGAATCAGGAAAAATCTCCGCGAAAATAACCTATCTTCCGCAAATTCATGATGTTTGTTTTGACTACTGGATTATCAACTGTCTGCTGAAGGTCAGTGCTGACGGTTGTCACCATGCACAGCAAAGTAAAATAAGAACTGTTAAGAAATCTCATTTATACAGGCCTCTTGAAGTGGCTCCTTCCCACTTGAGACCCCTCGCACCCAGGGTACCTGGTAGTACAATGTGGCACAGAATGTATTTGTGCGCAATGCAGCACAAGTTATATTCCCAGAAAGCAGTGAATGTTGCACTTTGTGCTGACTTGCTATGGATCAAATAATGAAATTAATAAAATCGCCAGTATCTTGTATTCTTTGGTAAAATGGTGCATATAAATAACACAAGAAAAAAAATTAAATCACTGCTTCGCATTCCGTTCCTCTGGTATAAGCCTATCCATTTGAGTGCAGCATTTGGTTGATTATAGGGTGAGCTTATTATGTCTACCCTTGGACTAAAAAATACTAATAGTGAGTCTGCAGGCCAGGCTATATATCACTCATTTTGGAAATACTATAATTGTTATCAAAATATAATATGAATACAAAATACAAAAAGCATGGTTAAATTTATATACAAACTTACAATACAAATCTTGAAAAATCATACATTCAAACCCATTGCATATGTTGGAAATATAACATAAATCATTTATAATTTCTCTTTACCCTGTTCCTCTGGTATAAGTCCACCACCCTTGGCCACAGAAAATGGTCAATTTTTTTTGGGTTGGGTTAATTCCCTGGGAATCCGCCTTTAAACTTTCGGCACTGTATGCCTAATTCAAAGCCAATATTTGATGTTTTTCTGAAAACTTGCCTAAGTTAAATCCAATATGCCATTGAAAAATTGTTTGACTTACATAAAATTTGACTTATAGATGGTTAATTAATGGAAAACACAACAATTTGGCATGTACAATAAGATTGACTTAGAAATTATTCGAGTTAGGCAAAGTCGACTTAGTTTAAAGGCCTGTTTACACTTGCACAATAATGATAAAAAGCAATTGTTCATACAGAAAATAGAACGATTCGATAAAGATTTATCGTGTATATTTTGACAAATCAATTAAAATGATGTCATACTCTATGTTCTCGCACGGCAGCTAACGGTTAGCAGGACCCGGATCCTGCTAACCGTTAGCTGCCGTGCGTCCATGCGAGAAAATCCCGATCCGGATACCAACAATATGATGATCGAATCACTGGCCAATAAGAAACTGGAAATTAAACGCGTACGTGTAATTGGTTGATGATAGAAACGCCCTCAACTTGCTAACCGATAACGCTTGCTAACCGTTAACGGTATCCGGATACCGCTAACGGTTAGCGTTAACCGATCGGGCGTTCTCACGCAGGTGCTAACGGTTGGCGCTAACGGTTAGCTCCCGATCCGGATACTAGGGCTCTCGTGAGAACCAGGCTATAATCATGGAAAAAACATGATTATAACATCATTGGATTGGATTTGTGAAATTATTTTTTCATCGTATGCACGATAAATCGTTAACGATTCGTGCTAGTGTGAGAACTTCTCTTATTTCTTTCATTTTCTATGTGAACAATTGCTTTTTAGCTTTTTACCATTATTGTTATCGTTGCAAGTATAAACAGTCCTTTACTGTATTTGTCATACCCGGGGCTTCTACCTGAGCAAAGGCTGGTACATAATATTGGGCATAAAATAGGGGGTGGGCTTACATAATAATGAGATGGACCTATAGCCAAGGAACTATCAGTAATATCAGATACTAATATTGTGCTATAATATACTTAGATATTTTCACTATGAAATCCCAGTTTTACCATCAGCAGGTTCATCCTGGATATCAAATGTTACATTGGTGAATCCATCTTGGTGACTTTTTTTATTGGTTGTGCTGTCTAATGGTGGTCCGTTCACATCAACATCCACTTTAAACTGTTTGCGGTGCTTTGGTGGATCAAGCTTGGATATTGAATCTGTGGACAACATATTGAAATTATGTATTTATTCGATTGTTTATATAGCCATGGGCCCTACAAATTAGTCTAAAGTTGCTGTTTGATGTAAGATAGTGCCATTCTAGGCCTATGTGGGATATTTTTTTCCATCTGATGAGTATCTTAACAAAAAAAAAACTTTTTCCATCCACCCCTTTTTATCATTTAAAAAAATGAAGGGCAAACAAACAATTAATTTTTTTGAAGGCCTTATCTTATAGCAAGATACCAGCTGCTCTGCCCACAAACATCTGAATTACAGTACCTGTATAATACATGACAAGTCAAATGCGCATGCCATTTATTATAATTTGAGAGGTACTGTATGAGAAAAAGTGTGTAAAGATAAGATTGGTTTTTGGCAAATGAAGTAGGTAATAAAGTAAAACAAATACATGAAAATTTTATTTTTATTTTCTACGGTGCATCTCAGAGAATAACTACTTAACAAAAAAAAAACTTTTTCCATCCACCCCTTTTTATCATTTAAAAAAATGAAGGGCAAACAAACAATTAATTTTTTTGAAGGCCTTATCTTATAGCAAGATACCAGCTGCTCTGCCCACAAACATCTGAATTACAGTACCTGTATAATACATGACAAGTCAAATGCGCATGCCATTTATTATAATTTGAGAGGTACTGTATGAGAAAAAGTGTGTAAAGATAAGATTGGTTTTTGGCAAATGAAGTAGGTAAAACAAATACATGAAAATTTTATTTTAATTTTCTACGGTGCATCTCAGAGAATAACTAGATCTTTATAATTGCCGAAAAACGCTGACAAAAGATCATGAAAAATTTGTTGGTGCTTCATTTTGACTATAATCGTGATGTGATGATGATGAATTTTACTATATAAGAGTATCATTTCTGGCCATCTAAAGGGGGATTGTACCTCCGACAAGGGGGGGGGGGAGGAGATATCCCAACAGAGTTTTCTATCAAATTATCCTTTATAAATACAGAATCCCGGAATTAACACAACAGTTTATTATTCTTTAATAAAAAAAAAAATCCCAGACAAATTTAATTTCTTACTGTTTTTAACTATAAAACCTAAACAATTAAATTAAATAACTGGATAATATTACCTAAAAATTAAAACAAGAAATTGTTTTGTTTTCATTTAAAAGTTATATTCATTATGTGAGAGTCAATTCAAAGATTAACATTTTTTATAGTAAAAATATGTAAATCTAGGTATACATCTAAAACTGATATCAAGATTTTAAAAATTCACCATTATATCTATAATACTGTATATGGGCCAATACTATCCCCCTAAAAATTACAGTACAGCACATTAAAGGGAGTAGAAAAAATGTAATATTCTGTAGTTCATATAGCGCTTTATACTGTCTTAAACCATTCCAGGTGTGGACTAGCTCGTAATATGGCGTTAACTGCAGAAATCTAACCAGTAACCTTCGCACTATAATATTTTAGCATTTATAGAGCATTCTTTACAGGAGTCTCAGAGTGCTTTTTGGTCATTGGATACAGAATCAATTATACACAACGTGCAACTTCCTCCGCTCCCTGGGGAGTATTCCTAGTTATTTAGCACTACTAATTTCATTCCGAATTATTCACCTCCTACCAGGTTCCCATTTTTATACTCCTGGGAAAAGAGAGGCAAATGCAGATAAAGTGTCTTGCCCAAGAACACAAGCAGTGTGACAAGCATCAGTCTCGAACCCCCAACCTTTTGATTGAAAGTCCAATGACTTACCGATGCGCCACACGCTTCTATCGTGCCAACACTGTGTCAACTAAAGCAAAACATCCTGGTTGACGGTTTCTCCAATTGAAGTACTTTTTATCTCAAAAATCCTCCTCAGACACCCTAACAAAAGCTTATAGTATTTAGCATGAAGCATCAAGTTTACAAAGCTTGAGAGCACAAACAAAAGTCCATCACTTAGTTTGCTGCCAATCCATACTCTAATAAAATTTACTGTGCAATTCTTTTATTAATCTACATCACAAAAACCACAAATCCAATAGTTTTATCAATCAATTCCCTTACTTAATACTATTCCATGTTTGCGAGCCTCTGCCATAATAAGTTCCAGTTGTCGTTCCTGCTGGTCGCAGTATTTCCTTAGTTGTTCCAGTTCCTCTTCTGCCTCTTCTCTCAATTGTTTCTGTGCTGTTATTTTTTCATGTGCTTTTGATTCAACTGAGATCACCAGTCCTATGAAGTAAGACACAATCAGTACAATATATCCACATACGTCCTGAACTTTACTATATTATTTTAGGGAATCAAACACCACACAAACATTAAATTGTAATTAGTAATAATAATATTAAATATTAATTAGTAATAATTACTATAAAATACATTTTTTAATATTTTGTTTTTATTTTGTTCTTTAATAGTTTAGCCATATATACAATACAATAAAACTTAACCAGAAATACAACACCAAGAGAAACTACAGTTAAAACCAATAAACAGTTCTCCATATATAAATAATAATAGTAATAATAATAATAATAATAATAATAATAATAATAATAATAATAATGAAAATTAATAATTAACTAAGGTGGAAGAATCTCCTTCCTAAAATATCATCATAAGGCAATAAAAATAACAAATAAATAGTATTATCATTTACCATTTACTATTCTTACAATCCTCCAAAGACGAAGGAAAATAAGCAGCTGAATAACGGCCATGAACGTTTCTTCGTAAATCAAGAAAACAATATCTAACACGAACGACACAATGACAATTACCGCATCAAACACCTCAAGCTTGTGTTTGAAAAATTCCAGTCGGAAGGCATACAACTTAAACACTATTTCCACCATGAATATACTAAGGATGGCGATGCTCATGTAGTGGAGAACCAATGCAGCGGTCAACTCCTTCTCAGCTGTATCCTCCTCTTTGTGCTCATCACCTTCACCTTCGCAGGCTTTGTTTTCATTCTAGAAAATAATATAAAACAGATTCAATAAAGAATATGAAATTGAAGGCCAAGTCAAATATTAGAATGATTTTGTCATCTGAACACTTTGAAAAAAAAAAAAAAAACACGAAGTAGGAAACCTATTTTGATGTGGAAGCAGTTTGGCGCAGTGGAAATATGTTTTGGTTTTCCAAATTTGAGATTGGGGTTTCAATACTTCGCTGTGCATTTTCCTTTTGTCCTTGAACAAGGGACTTTATCTACATTGCTTCAGTCTACCCACCTTTATCAATGGATACCAGCAAACTGCTGGGAGAAACCCATGGTGGATTTGCGCCCCACCCAGGGGGTGCAATGCACTCTCATCTGCTTCATGCTTTCAAAACTGGGGATAAGCTTCAGCCCATATGAGCCCTAGTGGCTCGGCTAGGAATTACTTACTTTTTAGCCCGCATTTTAACCACTCAAATTTACTCTTACATGTATCGGGCAAATGTTTAAAGTCAATCAGTAGGAAAACACACAATAAAAATACTATGTACTCAGAAGTGAAGTCAGCTGGATACAGCAGGTCAAAGTTGAAAGGAATACCCTGATTATCTTAGATCGTGACATACGTAATTAATTATCAATAGCTGTTAAAAAATATATTCCAGTTATTGGGCACAATTATTATAAAGAATAAAGCTGAAAAATCAGTCTTTAGCTATCCTGGTCCAGAGCCATCCAATAGTAGACTGTACCATTGAAAAAAAAAGTGGGGGCGCTGAATGTGAGATTTTCATATTATGCCTCAATTTTTAATTTTTATTGTACTCATTTTTAACTCACCTCCACTGCAGACAAATCCAGCACCAGCTCACATATAACCAGGATACAATCAGTCAACACTAACGCAATGATCGCACCATGGAACCAGTGGCTGTGAAGCGTCCTCTGCAGTTTTCCACGGAATGTATCAGCTGATTCTGTCACGGCTGGTTGATTAGGGGGCGCTGTCCTAACCTCAATATTCTCATTCTTGACAATATTTTCTTGATCTTCAGATTTTGAATTTCCAGTCAGATTTAGAAAGCCCATATCTGTTCCTGAAATAGAAAAATAAGAACAAAAGTAAACTAAATTTAAAGTTTTAAACACATTGTTCTACCAGTTTATGAACAAATTGTACTGCGAAAAGTTTTATATCATAATAAGGCCAAACAAAAAAATGATTGTATTGGCCACGTCCAACTGACACAAAATGTTCGAAATTGAGGATTGGCATTTTTTAATGAGCTAAAAAGGCTGGAATAGGCTTATCTTGCAATGGTGCGACAGTGTTAAGCGATCGTTTTTGCTCTTCAATATAGATTTAAACTTAATTTCTCCTACCGATCTACCCATTTTTTGGATTTTCCCCAGAAAAAATTGAATTTTTTTTTTTGGCCTAACTGATATACCTGGGGCAGATGCATGATCTGGCTTGAGGTGGTGCTAGTAGCACAAAATTATTCGGGGTCTGTATAATAATTGAGGTTCTAGAGGCAAAGATACAGCAAGCCATGACTTGAAACATGAGATGCAAGCATTTCCTGAGAAAACTATTTATAATGTTTTCTTGCAACACAAAGTTTTGAATGTAATATTACCTCTTTATTAAGTGAATTAATGGGTTCCTGCACTCTTTGACTTTAAGTTGTTATTACAGAGAAGACAAAATAACACTCTAACTAGAAATTGCAAATTGCAAGTGAAGTGCTGCGAAGTACAACTGCATATAAATGTTCTTCGAACAAAATTATTTATGCGAGTTAAGTGAAAATAATGAATAATAAAACTATAACAAATAATGAGACACGACCCATTGTGTATATTAGAACACTTCTCATTGGGTAACAAAGTCGTAATTTATTATTTTTGTCAAAAAGTGTCTAGGCCTATAGTGTGGTGAATTATGGTTTAGGTTTTTTTTAATAAAGTTTCAAAAATTTCTATGTATGTGGAAAATGTAGTTGATTACCAAAGGTTACAATTTTTATTTTGAAGACTGCATGGTCTAGGAAGTGTACATTTTTTTTTATGGGGCAAGTTTCCAAGGGCGGGTTTTCTGGGCGAGTTGACTGCTAAAGAGTGTTGCCAAAGTGCGAGCCAGCATGTTATTTGATCACAAGTGCGAGACATATCACAAGTGTGAGCCAGCGAGCCATGACGTCACGAAAATAGATAGAGACTTTAGCCAGTTGTGCGAGGTATCGGCTGAGATTTGTGGAGTACAATTCAAAAAACAACTATAGGTCTAATAATGAATTATTGTGATGTTAAATAGACAATGTTAGCTATCAAAGAGAGACGTTGTTCTCCATTGGGACCTTCGTCCCTTCAAGGCTAGGCCTATACCATCCTAGCTAGTCTAGGCCTAGAGTAGGATAAAGCTAGCACGACATGTGGACGTTGGTATGAGTAGGTTAGTCTACAAACGTCGCCTAAAGTAATTGATTTTACCCGGCAGAACGAAAGAAGGAAACTCCGCTTTTCAGTCGTCTTAGGCACTCGTTTTTTGACAAACAATGACCTTTCAGAGGTCAAATTGCTGTCAAGAATATGAATTGGCTGCTTCGCAGCAATAATAATGTTAATAATAATACAAGTACACTCATGTTGCATTCACTTAACATGACCTTTATACAAGGACTATCAAGTACTATCATAAATTATTAAGTGCTTATCAAATATGAAACCCAACTTGATATCGGCAGACAAAATAATAATTTTCATTATTTGTTCCGTCTTGCTTTAGTATTTAGTAGAAAAAAACCATAATCAACCAATCAAACAAACAATATTTGAGTTCAATTTATATCTATGTGTTAAAGTAATAGTTTATTCATATTTATTTAATTGCTATACTGTACATTTCATCTCATTTTATATTCAATGTTATTTTATATATATATTTTCATTCCATGTCCGTATGATTATGTTCATTTTAATTAAGTTTCTATTCTTAACATAGTTTAAAATTACTGGATCATTTGGGACAGAAGTACA